GGTTTCGACAATAGATTACTGTTTTTATAGTAATGATTATTTTGAGGGGTATAGAAAAAAATAGTGTATTATACACGGGGAAAACCGAAAAAGCAAATTTTAGCGCTCACATAATTGCCTCCCTCCGCTGCGCGTTGGGAGGCAATCCTTATGCTCGCGCTAAAAACATTCACTTTTCCGCCTTGTATAATAAATAGCTATATATGAAGGTTGTCTCAAGTAGGAAGTATGATTGATGTATGACTCCATTATTAATAGGTTATTAATGAAGGGTATTAAGAACTACCTATTATTAAATAATTTTCTCTTAGGCGATCGATTTCGACTTTAATGTCATCTTCAGGCCGTAGCGTCAAAGTTAAAGGCGGGTTTAGGCTCGTACGCAGAACGGCGCTGCTGCAGAAAGTCGCAGCCGCAGGTAGTTCGAGACCATGTTGATATACGGCCTTGTTTACGCTTGAACGCACCAATACAAAACGTAGGTTGCCGCAAATATGCTTGTCTGTAGGAGACGCAGAAGTTCGCAGAATTTAAACTTTGTACGCAGTTGTTTGTAGTCGGGCGTCCGGCGTACAGCTCTTCTTGATCCTTTGTCACCATTACTTGAAAAACATTTAGAAACCTTCCAAATTTTCTCCTATATTTGTTAACAGGTCTTACTGCCCACCGTCGTACCCTCCTTTGAGTATGCAAGAGCCCCAACTCATTACTTAACGCCGTTAGTAACAGTATTTTCTTTAATTTAATTCTCTTCTTGTCTGCCATTGCAGAAATTAATCAAAAATCTGTTTTTTCTATTCACTTAACCAACCACGTTATTTAACGACCAAAAGAGGTTAGGTTTTAAATGTCAATTTCGACACTTGAACACTGAGAACAACTGCGTACCAACATAAACAGATAGATCACTAGTACACACGGGGGCGTACTTCTGCAGCTGAAATTTCCACTCACTTCTGCAACGTGTGCATTCTGCGTACGAGCCTAAACCCGCCTTAAAATACAGAGTGGCCCAACGAGAAGTATACAGAGGGCTTTTAGGGTATTAAATTTAGAAATTTCGAAAAATCCTCGAACACGTCAATTTTGTATTCGATGGGGACAACTTTTGGAATACAAATCACGAACCCAAGTCTTTACCCCTCTACGTAGGGAGCTTAACCCCTAAAATTTTAAATGGAATCCTAGGCAAATGGCACATTATTTGAAAGCCAATTTAATCGTGATTACTAATCTGCTTTGCTTTTTAAATTCTATTGATTCGTTTCGGAGATATTCGCATTTGAAATGGTTTTTTTCTAAAAAACCAAAACAAATGCGATCTAAGTCACCTTGTATTAAAATTTTTAATACAAGGTTTAAATTGTGCAAAAAATAACAAATAACTTTTTTAGAAAAAAACCATTTCAAATGCGAATATCTCCGAAACGAATCAATAGAATTTAAAAAGCAAAGCAGATTAGTAATCACGATTAAATTGGCTTTCAAAATGTGCCATTTGCCATATAGGATTCCATTTAAAATTTTAGGGGTTAAGTTCCCTACGTAGAGGGGTGAAGACTTGGGTTCGTGATTTGTATTCCAAAAGTTGTCTCCCTCGAACACAAAATTGACGTGTTCGAGGATTTTTCGAAATTTCTAAATTTAATACCCTAAAAGCCCTCTGTATACTTCTCGTTGGGCCACTCTGTATAATAGTAAGTGGATGAATGGTGGTAACGTAAGAAATTTTGTGAAAAGATGTGGATGTTGATGGGGCGGTTGACTTAGTTGTGGTTGTAATGTGAGGTTATGTGTGAACATTGGCGTGGTGTGTCCACTCCACTTACTATATTTTGACACACCACGCCAATGTTCACACATAACCTCACATTACAACCACAACAAGTCAACCACCCCATCAACATCCACATCCTTTTACTATTATATTTTAACTTTGACGCTACGGCCTGAAGATGACATTAAAGTCGAAATCGATCGCCTAAGAGAAAATCATTTAATAATAGGTAGTTCTTAATAATACCCTTTAGGAAGTATGATTCGGGCATTAATTTTTTAATACGAATATATTGTAGCAATTTGCAATTCTAAGATTCCTTACGTTTTGAATATACTTTTCGTAGAACATATCAAAGACAACGGTTTGGGAAATATGCCGTAAAACGCTCATGAAGCATAGACAGAAAATAAAATCCGCCCATTACAGATCATTGAAAATTTGCAATTGCAAAGTATTTATCGACTTCAAAAACGCCTGGAAATATATGGATAACAGATTGAACATGAATGTATAATAAGTATGAAGTTTTGCAAGTAGTGACGAATTGGGCTAATGGAAACATAGGTACGTGATGACAACATAAATACCTACTTATTTCGTAATTATTATGTATCGCAAACGCATTATGGAAAGACATTTCTCGTTTGTCTACCAGTCATTCGTGTTTTGTAAAATATAGCTCGAGACGCTGGTAAATTCAAAAAATTGACAAGTGGATATAATGCTTCTGCAGTATCACGTAGGAATGCACTTTTTTAGGCCATTATCATTGAATTTATAACTATATCATAAATTCAATGCCATTATATAACATAATACACAGGGGCGGATTTAGGCAGGGGCTTTAAGGGCTGCAGCCCAGGACCCATGCCGGTCAAACCACTACAATAGGGATTAATAAAAACAAACAAAAAGTCCAATAAGATGCTAAACTATCTTAGATTTTCAAACTTTATATAGTGTCTCTTTTTGGTAACAGGTACATATAGTCACGAGGCGAAACCTTACCGCATTTGTACATGTCATGTCATCTACGTTAGAGTTTCTTTTTATGATAATATATTTCATAATTACAGTAAGGTCGCGGTAATCCGACGTTCTGTGCATTCCGAGGCCCAAAAGAAAAACAAGATACGAAGCATCGTATACGTTTTCAGTAGGGGAATTTTTTGATACTTAGCCCGCATTCGGAAACGCAACTTTTAATGCGGCTCATAATCAAAAGCACTGATCTTTGAACTCGTAGGATTTGAGTGAAGAAGATTTGCGCTGTTTCTTTACAAATTAGACGAGGTACATACGGACGGCCAAACCATCACATAAGGGAAATTTCTTTCAAAAAAATCCTCTAAAACACTTGAAAACTCGTATTATTCTATTTTCATGTAGTCCCCGTGCAGGCAATATTCTACACTACTCACTCCAAGGCACCGGGTAGCGTATTGGCAATCTGTACTATTATTCAGAGCAGCTCTGGTCTGATTCGTGGCTTCACGTTATGCGCAAATTAATAATACATTATATACTGCGATTCAATTGAGTTCTCAGCTCAACTGTCAGGGCTCAATTCTCAGTGCTCAGTTCTCTGTTCTCAGTTCTCTGTTCTCAGTACTCAGTGCTCAGTTCTCAGTGCTCAGTTTTCAGTTCTCAGTGCTCAGTTTTCAGTGCTCAGTGCTCAGCTCTCAGTTCTCTGTGCTCAGTTCCCATTGCTCAGTTCTCAGTGCTCATTGCTCAGTTCTCAGTTCTCAGTGCTCAGTTCTCAGTGCTCAGTTTACAGTTCCCATTGCTCAGTTCTCAGAGCTCAGTTCTCAGTTCTCAGTGCTCAGTTTTCAGTGCTCAGCTCTCAGTTCTCAGTGCTCAGTTCCCATTGCTCAGTTCTCAGTGCTCATTGCTCAGTTCTCAGTTCTCAGTGCTCAGTTCTCAGTGCTCAGTTTACAGTTCCCATTGCTCAGTTCTCAGAGCTCAGTTCTCAGTTCTCAGTGCTCAGTTTTCAGTGCTCAGCTCTCAGTTCTCAGTGCTCAGTTCCCATTTCTCAGTTCTCATTGCTCAGTTCTCAGTGCTCAGTTTTCAGTGCTCCGTTCTCAGTACTCAGTTCTCAGTTCTCAGTGCTCGGTTCTCAGTGCTCAGTTCTCAGTGCTCAAGTGACGAAGAAACGCCGAAGCAAAGAAGACAATACGGACGCCGTGCGGCCCATTCTAGGAGTAAAAAGTAAAAGGAGAGAACCGTGCATTAAAAGGGGACGAGACGGAAATGGACAAAAAGGAAGTTATAAAAGTGCGAGAAGAGCGGAGAGAAATTATTGGCAGTGGTGTAATAAAACACAACTGACATCGTCTCTTCTGTTTTATGATAAGTCAAGTCGACATAACTGACCAGCGCAAAGGAAGTGATATGATGACGACTTCCGTCGCGTGTTGTGCTATCTCCCACCACCGTTATATTCGCTCCTCTTTTTTTACTCGTAGGGCCCATTCCACACGAATCCCCGCGCGAAAACTTACTCTTCAACGTTGCCATTTTAGATACTGTATGGTTGGGTGCCTAAGTGTCGGTACCAAAGCTCCGATTATCATTACTTTAGTCGGTGTTATAGGTACACGTGACTTTTAAACTTTATAAATTGACATCCATTATTTTTTGCTTGGTATAAACCATTTTTCAAAACTTACAAAATTTTAATGTAAAAAGTTCATTATAAGTGCTCTTGATCCTTATCCTAAAATTAACCCATCCCCGAAGCGTATGTAAAATGATCTTTGAACCAAGATTACACTCCTTTTTTTGTAATCATTCCATTTACACACTATGTTAACAATGGACACTTAGTACGGAAAACACGTTTGTGATACCCTTTGGGAAACCACTTGCAATGCTACTTCCATCCCATAGCACGACTTAACCCATTTGAGAGTCACCTCAATTTCAGATAAAAAGATTAAATACTAATGACAGACGTTCAAATTCTAATTACCCAATGATAAGGAATAGTTGATAGTTTTTAGTTGCATCTAGTAATTTTGTGATAAAACCGCTTGATTAAATGTTCAATGATTATGATGTACTAATTTGTATTTTTAATGTTATTTTTAAAATGTATAATAGTATGTACAAGTTAAACTGAGTATTTTCTAAGTAGTTCTATGAAGAACTTGATAATACTTTTATAATTTCCTACACACTATAACTAAAGCTGGAAAGCCAGGAAGAATAAAATAACAAATACATTAACATAACAGTCGGACATCAGCATCACGAATGTATTTAATAACATAATAAATAGTACAAACTGTTTTTCTATGTACATTACCTACATTTTTAAAATGCTTTAATTTGAAGTTAACTTTCCCACTGTACCTATAAGCAGACTTTTAGCATTGTTTAATTAGACAATTCTGCACAATATTACATATTCGATGGAAACTATGTTTAATTACTACGCTAGAATTATTGAGCTTTTAATATCTTTTTCACTGCTGTTACGATGTCACTTGCTTGTGGGAGAGCGGCATTTTCAAGAGACTTAGTGTATGGCATGGGGGCATCTACACCAGTTATTCGAATAGCAGGCTGATCAAGATGGAAGAATGCCTCAGATTCCATTACTCTTGCTAAAACTTCAGATCCAACTCCACAAGTGGGCCAACCTTGTTCGACACTAATTAGATGGTTTGTTTTAACTACAGAAGAGGTTATAGTATCAATGTCTAATGGCCTTAACGATCTTAAATTAATAACTTCTGCTTCTATGCCTTTACCGGCTAATTCAGTTGCTGCTATTAAACAAAGGTCGACCGCCTTAGAATGTGCTACAAGAGTGACGTGATTTCCGGATCTTTCAACTTTCGCTTTGCCAATTGGAATGGTAAAGTCGTTCGACAATGCCTCATCAGACATAGGAAACTGAACACCGTAAAGTAATTCGTTTTCTAAAAATACAACAGGATCTGGATCTCGAATGGCGGCCTTCAGAAGACCTTTGCAATCTTCTGATGTGTAAGGAGATACCACTTTCAGACCTGGGCAGTGTGCATACCATGCTCCGTAGCACTGAGAATGCTGAGCGGCTACTCCAGCTGCGGCACCATTAGGGCCACGAAAAACTATCGGCACATTTACTCTTCCGGCAGACATATAAAATGTCTTCGCAGCAGAATTTATAACATGGTCGATAGCTTGCATTGCAAAATTAAAGGTCATAAATTCGCAAACAGGTTTCAGACCTGCCATAGCCGCTCCCACTGCAATACCTGCAAATCCCATTTCTGTAATTGGAGTGTCTATAACACGTTTATCTCCGTACTTCTTCCAGAGACCTCTCGTTACTTTGTATGCACCGTCATACTGTGCAACTTCTTCACCTAGAATAAATACTCGCTCATCCTTCTGCATCTCCTCATCGAGGGCTGAATTTAAAGCGTCTCTAACCGTCATAGGCTGTGCACTTAAGGTCCTACTTGTAGAAAAACTTCTTTTATTTAAACATTTCATAAGTTTTGAAGTCAAATTTGAATTTATCGTGATTCGTAAATTTGCCATTTTTGTGAATGGGTACTGCTGAAATAAATTTGGATATATTATATAATAGAATCGAAGTTTATCCTAACTCACTTCAGCGATTAGGTATTCCTTTCAAGGTGAAGAAGGTCACGAGGACAACTTGCATGCACTAAGCTCGTCGCTTAACACACGGCACAATACAGTATCAATATTGTATTGGAAATTGAAGTAAAAGGAAATGTCAAAAATCAATCCATATGTGTCGAATCACAGGAAATAATTTTGTTTAAAACTGCGGCGGTTGGATGCACTGAATTCTGTATTTTATCACCCACCAGTGGCGTAACATTAACTGCTGTCATAATGTTCGCGCCGCGCGATAATATACAGTTTCATAAAACAATGAAATGTTAATAGAAAGCGTAAATAGTCCATATGTTACATTACGGGTACTCTAACTACGTATGTAGAGCAGCTTCTTTAGCTCCGTTTGAAGGTCGACCAAACGACCTCCTGTTAAAGCGTACCTACACAATAGCGGCAACCAGTATTAGTTTACCGTAGTATCCAGTCGTTTTTAAAATGATTTTGTCCGTCTGCCCGTCGCTCCGTCCGTCTGTTCCTCTTCTAACTCAAGAACGAAAACAGACAGCGATGTAAATCAATTCTTTGTGTTTCCCTGCTTCAAAGCTTGGTTTTCTGTAGCCAAATGAGTCCAGGGGCGCTATTCCTGATTTCACTTCAATTGGTTCGTATTCGTTTTAAAACCATGTATGAAAATTCGCATACCACTATCATTTGCTATTACATAACGCTTGTCATTTCAAATCGAATGATATGTTTGACAACGTAGAATTTGGTAGTAGTTAATAGCTTCATACGACAGCAGTTTGTATACACAACTGCTTTCTTATAACTGATCAAATTACAAAAAGTGCTTATGGGCCCCATAGACTTCCGACTTGTTCGTCCGATTTGCACGACGTGTAAATCGGATGGTACTATGTCGAACAAGTACGATAGACTCCACACACCTCGTGTTTGTTCGATCGGAAGGCAAAAAGTCGGATGTTGATATTTTACACGACGTACAAGTAGATACGTCCGATTTTACCCATACACTTCCGATTTCTTGGTCCGATCGTGCCAACTAATTTACACGTCGTGCAAATCGGACGAACCACAAGTCGGAAGTCTGTCCCAGCTAGCAATTGAGGTGTCATTCGACGTCGATTCGACTTCAAATAAGTAACGACACCAATTTCAATAAGTGCAGTATAACATAAATTCGACGTCGAATCGACTTAAGTGGTGTTTTTTGACACGTCGATTCGATGTGAGAAATAAGTTAAATAGGTGTGATTATATTGTATACATTTTTCCGCAAATATATTATATTATTATTATTATTATTATTACCTATTATGGTCGGTGTATCTTGTGAGAACTCAGGTCTAGCCTGGTTAACTAATCGCACGGATTAAAATCAAGTAAAGATTATTATTATTATTTTAGCTTTTTCTCGCTTTATGCGGTTGACCTACAGATGACGGGTAATTACCAAGTCAAAAGTAGAGTATATCTATTGCTGTAGAAATGTTCGAGTTATGGATGCCGTTTTCAGAAGTACTGCTTTTTGTATTTTTGTGTGTAAGTATGGGTGAATGTCAAGTTTTTTAAAATGTTGCAAAAAGTTTTTGCTAGTAACTCCTGTGACTGAGATGATGAGTGGAACTATTGTTGCCTTATGCTGTTGCCAGAGTTCTTTTACTTCTATGGCCAATGGTAAGTACTTTGTAATCTTTTCCTGCTCCTTTGTTATTACATTGGTGTCGTTTGGTATTGCAACATCTATTATAAATGTTTCTTGGTGTACTTTATCTATCAGTGTGATGTCTGGTCGATTACTAGTCACTGTTCTGTCCGTATGTACTGTCCTGTCCCAGTAGAGTTTGTGTGTTTTGTTTTCAAGTACATTTTGTGGTGTGTATCTGTAATAGGGTATTTCTGTTTCAATGAGTTTGTGTTTGTATGCTAGTTCTTGATGTATTATTTTGGCAGCCGTGTTGTGTCTTTCGGTGTATTCTGTACCCGCTAATAGTTTACATCCCCCCGTGATGTGTTCTATGGTCTCTGATGTTTGTTGGCATTTTCTGCATGTGTCTGTTTCTAATGCTTCCTTGATTATATATTTTCTATAGTTACGTGTTGCTATAACGTTGTCTTGTATGGCTAGTATGAATCCTTCGGTTTCTGGGAAAAGTTGACCTTTTTTAAGCCATTCATATGATAGCTGTTTATCTATTTGCGGATTCTGCATGATATTGTAATGTTTGCCGTGTAGCGCTTTTTTCGACCATTGTTCCTTCTTCTGCGTTTCTATGAGTGGATGATGTTGTTGTTGATGTATTTGACTTAGATTTAGGGGGGTGTATTGTTTATCTGATTGTGTGATAGCGTTGTGTAGTTTTGTGTCCTGTGTCTGGAAGTACTCTCGCAGGTTTTCTATTTGTTTGTTATGCAATGTATGAAAGTCTAAGAGCCCTCTTCCTCCTTCACTTCTACTAATTGTGATGCGTTCGATGCATGAATTGGGGTGTAGTTTTCGGTAGCTTGTGAGTTGTGTCCTGTTTAACCTGTTAAGTTCGTCTATTTCTGTATGTGACCATTTAATTATTCCGAAACTATACGTGATGACCGGTATTGCATATGTATTTATGGCTTTAAAAAGGTTTTTCGAATTCAGTTTTGACTTAAGTAGACGTGACAGTCTTTGCTTATATTTTACCTTCAATTGCTGT